AGCATTAATTTTGAAAACTGTTCAAGGTTGAGCTGAATGGTTCTATTTTTCTGTATGTTTGGGAATTTCCACAGTAAAATTTTTCACATAAAATCTTACAAAGAGCCCTGCTATGTAGTACAGATAAATTCAGAGTAAGCACTATGCAACGCCTTCCTTTATCCCTCTAGTGACTCCAAAGTCAAACTCTGGGGTTCCAAGGGACATGTAAAAAACCACTGGTTATATTCATTATCATCACCATAATAACACAGGCAGCCTGCACAATTTGATGGATTCCTCCTTGCCTAACAGAAGGAAAACAGACCCTAAAAGCAGCAACAGATGTTCTCTCTGGGTGGTGAGTTTACCAATGTCTGGGGTTTTGTTTGTTTGTTTGTTTTAGTAATGATATTTTGTAAATTTTCTTATAAAGAGAAAAAAATTTTTAATGTTCATAAAATATAATAGACTGTACCATTAAACAATCCAAAAGGTTACTCCAAGCCTTCACAGTAGCCTCAGGATATGCAACAAGAAATGATAAATCCCCAATGTTCATTAGAAAAGAGACAAAGACAGTGAGTTGGAACAGCCAGTCTCACATAAGGAAACAGCTCAGAACAAAAGGAGAACACCTGACAGTAGGGGCCATATCATCTGCCTGGTCCTTTATCTTATTCTTAGCCTGCCCTTGTATGGAATCCAAGACTGTAAGACTGGAATTCCCTCTCCTTGACTAGGGAACCAGGAAGAAGCAATGAAAGAAATGGATTTTCATCCCTCAACAACAAGCAATCAGTAAGGGATAGATGTTACCTTCCTCTATTTCACAAAATCCTGTAGGTAGATATAACTATCTCTATTTTTAAGGATGAGGAAATTGAGGTTCAGGTAAGTTAAGTAACTTGCCTAATGTCACAGAGCTATTAAGTAGCAGGCAGAAGACTAGAACTGAGTTTGTCTGCTCCAGAGCTAGGATTCTTTCTACCAACCTACAGCCCATAGCTAAAAAATATCCTTTTATCCTATGGCAAGTTCCAACTATAGTGTTCTTTTCCAACTGTAGTGTTCTTAAACTTACTCTGTGGCTCACTATCCATACTGAAAATAAGAAAAGAAAAAGGAAAAGGCAGCTTCACAAAGTTGGACTGACTGTCCAGCACTATCCACACTAGAGTTGTAAGAGAGGAGGCACTAAAACTTGATTCACACGATGCTTGCTGTCAATCCAAATCATCAGTCCTCCCCTTGAGAAAAGTTTATCGCTAATACTCTCCCCAGCTGAGAGTTTGCAAATGGCACTCCCAAGAAAATTTGTCAGTCCATTACATGGAACCCCTACCATTCTAGGTGTGTTAGCTTTCAACTTCTAACACTAGAAATAAAGGAGAATTTGTTCCAACCTAAAAATGGCAGTTGCCAAGTTACTATCACTACAGCATGGTGACTAGAGCACTGGCTTTGCAGTCATCCAGACCTACGTTCACAACCCAGTTCTGCCACTTTAATAAATGGGTAACCTTAAGCAAGTCAATTCAATTCAATAACTGCATATAGCAAAAAGCAATCACGGATAACTTCTCCATAAGGATTAAATGAAATAACCTAGTGCCTAGAGCCTGACACATAAAAAGAAAGTGGAAAATAAACGATACACACTATTATCAACACTGATATTACTCCTGTGACAGATTAGTCTTAGAGTCTTAGCAAATATTCTACGTGGCCTGAACTCTTGATTATCGGATGTAACAATCAACCGGTTCAATCTGGAGAGCTGAACCAACTGAGAAACTGATTCAGTTCAATTTGTTCAGAGACATCCAGATATTCCAGTTCAACTGTTCTAAAAAAATGTTGAGTTAGTCCTAGTTTAAACTGGTTCACATTTTTTTAAAAGCACATATACATTTGGCTAACTCCATAGCTTATTATACACATATTCTCTCTCTCTCTCTCTCTCAGATTTTATTTGTAGTTTAGTCTGGATTTTCCTTCACGGGTCTGCTTACTGTAACGCACTCCTTCAAAGCAGGGAACAAGTCTGTATTGTTCATCTTTATGTGTTCAACACCAGGATAGGCCTTGGCACATACCAAATGCACAGTAAATATTCTTGCAGACAAGCCATTCAGGAACCTCACTAGCTTTAAGATTCAGGAGGGCTCATTTTGGCAATGGGAATGCAATTTTTTCCACCTACAAATATTTGTCAGGTTTTTCTTTTTTTTATTTTCAAATAAATAATGGCTAAACAAGCCACACACCAGATATCTCAAAATTAAAGTTTTCACAAACAAAACTAAGATGGAAAATTCTAGAAACAGTAGCATTCAAGCACAGAGGAAAGAACAATTTTGGAATCAGGCCAAGCTAGGGTTCAAATGCCAGCTCTACCACTTCACAGCTATGTAGTATTAACTTGGGTCCAATCACACATATCACCTCTGAAACTCAGTTTCCACATGTGAAAAATGGGGATAATAACACCTACCTCACCGGGTTGTCACAAAGCTAATATATATATTTTTAACAGTTTATTGAGGTAAATGAGTGATTTTTATTTTTTCAGTCTTAGCTGTTTTCCTTTCTCATAGACAGCAGAACCTGGAGGGATTGTATAATGCCTAAAGGCATCTACTATCTTTATTTCTGCTTTTGAAAAGGTACACTAATTCAGCCACATAGACAGGTAATTGGCTCAAGTTCCAACTGGCAATGGGTCCGGTGTGGTAATTTTAAGGAGGACCCTGTCATGCAACTCCAGAGCCCAAGCAAAGTCAAGCAGGCTCTTCAGGCAACCTATTCTCTTCTGAGGCCTTCTTAAAATGGGTTCACTGAGAGGTATGCAATGTCAAGCAAGAGTCATCTTTGTGATAAACCAAAGATGTAATAAGCATATAAACCAACAGGCATTCTTTGAAAACCCAAGGACAAATTAAGTCAACTAAATTGTAGCACTGTTTGGAGACCGGAGGTAGAGAGCAGGACCACTGGTGTTAAAACAGTAATATGTAAAACCAGTGAGTAGACAGGAAGCAACATGTTTTTTAATACATGTTTACTTTCCATTCACAAACGGAACAAAATAGAGTAATGATTTGCTAATTCCAAATCAGCTGAGTAAATATTTCATTTTACTGTGTTGCAGACTCTCAATTATATACTAAACAAAAACCTAAATAAACAAAATTCCCAATATATCTCTAAAAACAGTATTTACTCCATTCACATTTCAGTGAATATCATTCAGTATTCCACTGTATTTCAAGGTCCAGTCAAGGCAAAGTTTACATTTTTTCTCTTAAATGATTTTCCCTGGGAGAGAGAAGTCAAAGAACTTTGAGCACATTTGGGTTTCTATTTTCAACAAGGTAAGAACCCGTATTTCCTCCCACTCACCCCACCTCCAGAGAATTCACAATACTGATACTAAAATATATTGAAAAATGTTTCCCACTGGTCAATTACTTTTAACTGAATGCAATAAGAAGGATCTGCACTTCAATCTGCACTACAATTCTTCCCCTACTTAAATTTCTGGAAAAAACTCATTCGCCCCACTAACAATTAACTTTATAAACATTCAAGTAATAAGCATTTCAGAAAAACACACTACTACTATAATGCAAATATCCATTATTTAGCACCAAGGAGAGTCCATGCAACAACATCTGCCATTTGAAGAACATTTTTGTTAAAGTTACATTGCATGCAGCGAAGCTGCTTTTCCAAAAATAAAATATACATTACACTGGAGCCTCACTGCAACACCCAATCCCTGGACCCTAAGTGTTGTACCGCCTTTTTATGCACACTCCTATAACAACTGGATCTTATACTGAATCTACTCTCTAGTTAATTCTGTTAGTGAGGTTCCAGTACAGTTTTCTAAAGAAAGCAATTTGAATCAATAACCACACCAATGGTACTCAGAATGTTTGCTAATAAGTAAATAAAATACACAATTCCAATATGAAAGAAATTCTCCTCCTTCCTGGTTCCCCCACTCCATTTAGAGACTGTAAACATGAATAGAAAGATAACCTTGAGAACAGTAAAGTCATCCATGCCATCAATAATATCCCTCTAACTCATTTCCTCATTTTACAGTGTTTTCCTAAAACAGGGCAGTCTCCACAGGACACCAGGAATTTAATATCGGTTTTTTTAAAGATATAATAAACTGTGCGGAATACACAGTGATGAAAACTGAATATTGCTACTGAAACCATACTTAATTAAAATACACGTTTTCTCTAAACAGAACTTCCCCAATAAAGCCGCAAAGTTTTCTGCCTTGGCTCCCCTTAGAATCCATCCCAACAAGTGAGTGCAGTCCAGCCACACTCCTGCTAACAGTTTTTTCCTGAGCAACCCCTCCCCACCCCCGAAAAGTTTTACTTTTATCTGTGGAATTCTCTGCCAGCCTCGGCCTGGAAACCTGGGTGGACCCTGAGGACAGGTGTCAGATCTGGCCTTTGGGAAGTGGACCAAACCGACGGTTATTGGCAGCATAAAGCTGTGACCTTTAATAAACTTCAATTTGAGATTTTATACAATTAGTAATTCCCTCCCTACTCCTTTTTTGAAGGAGGGAGAGAAAGCATGCCAAAAGGATGAATTTCAAAGTAGAAAAATCACCACTTTAATTATGAAACCCTCCCAACTCAACAAAGAACTGTTAAAAGTAGCCAAATGGAAAATGTCAGGGTTTTGTGGGCACATGCACAACTATTAAACATGAGAATCAGAACTTCAAGGTGGGGGGAGGGGAGAATAAAAAGCAGGAGCAGAAAAAGAGGAGTAGAACTGGGCCCAGCCAAAGACCCATTTTCTCTGAGAGGCCCCTCTTGGTACTAACTCCTCCATGTGGGGCACCCAGGCTGAAGAAAAGCAGAGGGTTACACAGAACATTTAGCAGACTTAACATTGGATTAAACACACTACTGCAAGTTTCAACAAATGTTCATGGCATACGTAAAAAACACATTTACAACAAGAAAGAAGAGAGGCACCTGGAGACATCTGACACTGGGCATGCTCTGCAGGCAACTCAGTGCGCACATGCTCTCTACCAGGTTGGCGCAGCCTAGCCACAAAGACCTTGGCACAGAACACTGCAGGATGACAAAAAGGAAGGAAGAGAAGAAGCAGTTAGAGGCCGCAACAAATCACTCCTTCACACAGGCAACTTGAATGTTAGTTGGGCAGGGGATGCACCCTTGGCAGTTTGGAGGTCAGGGATGGTGGTCCTAGACAACTTACTGAAACCCTGGGAGAGGGCCCACTTTCTGTCCTACAGAAAGGAGGCTTCTGCTGCCAACCACTAATTCCTCAGGACACAGTGAACAGAATCAAGAGGGAGAGAGAGAATGTTTAAATGAAAACCCACTAAAGGGAACTGTGAAGGTCTGAATGAGCAACAAGATTAATGGTAAGACTGTGACTATAACAATAAAAATAACCGTTTCTAGTCTTGGAGTCATATAATTATAACTGCCATCATTACATCACCTACTATGTGCCAGGGACTTTAAGTGTGTTTTCTAATTCCCACACCACAGTAAAGAAACGGAGGCTCAGAGGTTAAATCGTTTGCATAAGGACACACAGCAAAGGAGGGGAGAGCCAGAATTTCAAACCTTCGTTAGTCTATTAAACCCACATTAATTCTACAAGACTATGATGCTTCTACTGTAAAAACTTTGATCATCTGAATTTTTATCATGTAGATACAGTTTTGTACTTCCCTAAATAAAATCACAGGACACCTAGAGACATAAGGCAAAAGGAATAAGAAAGATGAGTGATAGATTGATAGATACAGGCAATAAAAGAGCTGATTAAAAACATATCTGATTTTGCAGTGACATCCGCATCTCTGCCTTTCCAAAGGAAAAACTCTGGAATATGATGATTTTAATTTTAGACTTTTTTTTACAAAGTTCATTTGACACAAGTAAGAACTTAAAGGCTTATTTCATTTACCCATTCCCATTCTCTTCTAAAAGCTTGCTGGCTTTAAGGGAATTAAGAAAAAAGAAAAATATAAAAATGAACATATGCATTGTGGCTAGTATTTTTAAGCCATTAGATTATTTATGGTATTCAATAAGTTCTTTTTTCTGCAGATCTAAGGTCAATTAGTTTACTACAGCAAAAACAATAACCATGCAAAAAAACATCTTTTTTTAACTGAAGGTGGGTGTTTGGATTTAACCAAAATACTCCAGAAGTCTTAGACTCAACATCATAAATTTGTTTATCCTAGCTATAATTAGGATGGTCAGACATCCTCATTTTCCTTGGACAGTCCAGGTTTACACTTGTTGTCCCAGCATAACTTTCATTCTCAAAAGCGTTCTGGTTTGGGAGACAAATTCTGTGGTCATCCCAATTATAATATAAACAAAGACAGCTACGCTTGACATCAAATAGACCTGGGCTCCTCTCCAGCATCTGCCACTTACTAGTTACATCTCACCTATAATTTAACTAGAGTATTGAGATCACTTACTTATTTATTTACTGTGAAGAAGGCTCCTCGCCCAGCATGGAGCCCAGTGCAGAGCTCGAACTCACAATCCTGAGATTAAGACCTGAGCTGAGATCAAGAGTCAGACGCTTAACCGACTGAGCCACCCAGGCACCCCGAATATTGAGATTATTTAGAAAAGGCATTAAAAGAATCCAAAACCATTGGGGAATCAAATGGAATAAAAAATTGAGCAGCTTTTTGGTAACAACCATACATTTCCAACATGTGCCTTTACTGCAAAGTTTACCATAGCTAATATAGAAATGTATCACTGATCCTCCAGGGATCCATATTTTGTTACCCCAACACTTTCACAGAGTGCCACGAAACATGCTGAATAAATGTTTGTATAATAATATAAACAGCTGCCATTTATCAAGCTCATTATATGATAGCCAGTTGACAGAGTAAACCCCCACAAAAACTTTTTTTCTACAAAAACTCTTTTGAGAGGCAATATTCCATTTTAAAGATGAGGAATCCACGGATCAGTAAAGGAGTGCTTCATTTATTGAAATAGCAGCTTGTTCAAGGAGCAAGAAAACAAGGGCTAACTAATAGTAAAATTAGGACTAGAAGTTAATTCTGCCTGACTCTAAGCAAATCTGTTTTCTTTCCACTAAAACAAACTCTGTCCAGAGATATCTAGCAAATGCTTATTAAAAGAATACTTACATCAGTATGCATCAGAAGCAGATGGGCAGAGAAAAGGCCCAGACACATTATATTTGTATACATTGCTTACATCAATTATTTTAAATAAATTCCCAACAGCCCCATAGTTCAACTTTAAGTTTCCTTTTTGTAATCTTTGTAATTATCCAAATCACAGAATCACTCAGATCTGAGAATGGAGTTTAAGGATTACACCTGGATTCAACAACTGATACCAAATTAACACCAAAGTTCACCTGCAAATTAATTTTCATTTATTCCACAGAAACAGGTTCCTGCTTCAAAATTTAATACGTATTTGACTCAAACAGTAAAACTATGAAGGCATAAGAATACTATACCCTGATTAGATTCTGCTAATGCCTTGGGATCCAAAACTTAAAAAAAAAAAGGGGGACACATTTTCATATTTAATAAAGCAAAGAATCATATAGAACTGGAAGACAATTTAGTCTGCACTTCCACCCCGATTTTAGAAGAAACTAAAGAAGAAAAATAATTTTCCTAACCATCTAATGACCTCTTACAAATATATGGAAAACAACGTAAAGAAAATTTTCTGAAAACTTAGTTTATAAATAGTAGCCATTTATTACAAGTGTTTTTAAAAGCTTGATATTGAAATTGTATATTCAGGAAAAGATAAGAACCCCCTCAAGATCTAATTTCCAAGAATGTATAATATCTATGAAAGACATTGTGGGGTACAGAGAGTGATGCCAGTATTTATTAAAGGTATTAGAACTTCTTTACTTTCATACTCAATTCCTTGAAGCTAAGAAACCAACACAGTGCTGAAAAATAGTCTTTACACAACAGAAAATGCCACTCTAGGAAATACACCCATCTTTTTATAAGGATTACCTGCTAGTAGTCTAAACAAGGCTCCTCTTAAGTGTAATGGACCAAGAAGACATTGATCTAACTTGAAAATAATGGATAAAAATAAAAGTTCCACATTCATCAACCTAAGAGCATTAAAATGCAGCTAGGACCACAGCAGTAACTGATTCTTGAAACTTCTAACTAAATTTAGGGACCTGGTTGGAAATCAATGTTGACTTGTAGAATAACTATTATCTATCATTGTTTAACAGTATAATGTAAAGATTTTGTCATATCAGCTATATTCACAAGGTAGACTATTTTGGTTTTTTTGTGGGGTTTTTTTTTTTAAAGATAACTGGTCTCTCTTTAAACTTGAGGAACACTATTTCATTATTAAAATATGTCTCAAAAACTTACCCTAACACTGTGGGTATTTACCAATTTTAACAAATGCTTATTGACCTACTTATTAAGCCAACAACAATACCAACTAAGCCTCTTTCCTCTTGAGACTTCAGCCTCGAGCTCAAGAGAAACCCACGGGGGTCACAATGGGGACACTTAAGAGAGGGCTCTCAGGGGTAGAAAACCCCCAAGAAATGTTTGCTCTGATTTCACATTTAGCTACTTGTAATGACTAGTATTCTAATTTAGAATTATTCATAAGGAATAAGAAATGCTTCAGTGTTCTAGTATTAACAGCAAATACCCAATTAGATTGATTATATTTGTAGGTTCTACGGCCAAAGAAAATAGCATTAGTCAAGGAAACTGATAGTGTTCATTAATTTTGGCATACCCACTGTACAATCAAAAACCAGAATCAGGGCCACCATGCTGAGAAACACTATAAGTCAGTAAAGACAAGAAGAATAATAGCTTTTGGCATTTTTCAAAAGCAGAAAGTTATTAAAAGAGGTAGAAGAGAAATGTCCTAGGCTCTCTTCCTATTGCCATAGGAACCACAAATCAAAAGGAAAAAGTGGTTGCAGGCACCTTGTCTTCTAATTGGCTGGCTTGAAGGAGAACTCACAAAAGCTTACTTTGGTCTGTTTCTAGATGGGATTGTTTTGAATATCCTGCCCTGATTCCTTCTCAAAGAGGCAATTCTTTTAAAAGCTACCCAAAGAGGTATTTTATGTCAATCTCTCTCTAATGTCACTCTGATTCAGAAATATGCCCTATTTTCTGTATATTTATAAATATAAATTTAGGGGTTTCCTATAAATCCCCCTAATTGTTCTCTTTAAACCTCCTCCCACAGAATCACTACCAGCCTCATCTAACTCTTGTCATCATGTTTGAGATAACTGAGTGGCTTAAACACTATTCCATTCAACAAACAACTTATCTGAACTTACATGTGCAGACAGAAAAGCAATTAAGACATTCTCTCTTGTCCAGGAGTCCATAGGAGGGAATTTTGAGAATGTGCAGTGTAACACACACACACACACACACACACACACACACACCACCCAAAGAAGGAGGATGCCTGAACTAAGCCATAAAGGATGAGTAGGAGGCAGCCAGGGTAAAAAGAGAAAGACATTCCAGGCAGAATAATAGCATAAGCAAAGCCAGAGAGTTAAGAAATGGCACATCCTACTCAGGGATCTGCAATTAATTTAGCATTACTAAAGTATTTCAGTATGAGATGGGGAAAGCTGAGAGGCCAAATCACAGAGGTCTTTCATAAACCACTCTATCAAACTTGGGACTTCATCCTATAGACAACAGCTCTTATACTGTGTGCTATATATATAGCTCACCAGTAAACAACCAATCCTTCCCAAGGGTGCAGTCCAATTTATCATCAACATGCCCAAGAGCTTTTTTCAGCAACTCAGCATACATACTGTTTCAACCATATCTATCAAAGGGATAGAAGCAGGTCATGCAACATATTGGCAAGGGTTAGGGTGAGGTTCTTAGACTAAAAGTCAGGGACAAAGCAAAATATCAAGCCAAAGCCAAGCCAACTCAAGCCAGCATCAAAGAAAGATCCTTGGCAGTTGGAGAGAAGCATGTTGAAGAGAAGTTAGAAATGGAAGTCTCTTGGAGAATCTAACAAGA